CAGAATGAATAAAAACCTACGACTGTGGTCACGCAACCAACACAAAAAGCGAATAATGACAAGTTGATGGAGTGGAATGTATTTAAAATGTGGAAGCCGATTCAACAGGGTTGCATTCAAATATAAGAAGAGTATAAAGAAAGCACCAAACACTTTTTCCGAAAACAAGATTACATGCTAAGTACAACAACTATTTCAAATAATAAAAAATTGTTGAGTAATATTTATAATAAATTAGTAAAGTAATAGTAAAATTCAATTAACTATTCCTTTTGTTATGTTTTCTACTACATGTTGAAATTTTACTGGCGGTATCTTTGTTAAAAAGAAAAAAAATTATTTTGGAAAATAATTTCAGATATTAGATAAGTACTATATTTGCTTAATTTTGCATATATAACATGTTACATGTTACAATTAAATTTTTAAATTAAATTACTAAGGCACTCTAACATAGTATTTACAAAACACAACTACTGATCATTGTATTTTTACTTACCCAAGTCCGTAATACCTAAATAATAGTGAAATTAATATATAGTCTTATAGTAAAATTCAAATAACTTTTTATTATTTTTTTATTGCAAGTACTTATTCTAATAGACCATCTATTTAGCATTAGTTAATCATTTTTCTGAAGATTCTAAAAAGAAAATATTTCAAGCTTGTGATGATAATTCGTTATATATTTTTAATACATTGATTTTAAATAAAACGTTAAATAATATTTTCTAGCAAACTTACACTGTGCACTTAAAAGAACTAATTTTTAAGATCCTGTTTATCCTGCGTCTACAAAGGCTAGACTTATACTATGATCCCACTGTAGCTAAGTCAATTTATGTTAATCAAATTAAGATTTGGTCGTTTCGATTGGTATAAGTTGTTTTATGTATCAAAAAGTTCTAGTAGAGTCTCTTTCTGTTTACATTTTAATTGTTGGCAGATATATTGTAGTCTTATTTACATTTTGACAAATTCCCTTCTAAGAAATATATTTTCAAAGTTGCATTCCAACTTTGGCAAGATTTATACATATTTTCGAATTTTGGCTGTGAACAAAAAATTATATGTGTTAGTGAATGCGAAAAACTTGCCAGAGGCTAGCCAATGTAAATGGTGGGTTATGTAGTATACACCTTTTGAAAAACCAGTCACCATTGTGCTATACGATTATCAACTAAAAATAGCAGAATCGAAAGATTATATGGTGAGTCATGAGCAAGAGTGTGAATAATTCTTACAGACTTTTATTGTGCGGTATTGAGCGCAAGAGCCTGCTGGACATATAAACATTGAGTTTCTCGAAATGTTTGAAAAGAGTCAAGTTTTCTGTGTCTTGTAGCTTTCCTGTAGAATTAAAACCAAATTTAATATATTTATTATTTTGACTTAAAAATAGAATATCAAATTAAAGTTAGATCTGCAGCTAAATACAGCGCACATAACTACTACCGCTATATTAAACATTTTAGTAATCAGACCAGAGTAATAATAATTAGTAATCAGAGCAAATAGAAATAAAGACCAGACATATATATATATATATAAATCGAAATATTCTAAAATATCCAAAAAAGTGACAAGATTAATGATATGAAGAATTTAAATACCAAAATTATTTTGTAGGTTAGAATACGTAACTAATATAAAATAATTAAAGCTAATGAAATAATAATTTTAATGAAGTAAACAAGCATAGTAACAGTTATTAGAATTAGGTACAATTCTACAATATAAATTTAGTCATCCTTCGATATTGCTCACTGAAGTAATACTTAAAATTTTTAATTATTTCATTTTAGAGTCAAATCAACACTTAAGTATGCATTGTAGAATGGGTTCTTAAAGTCTAGCATTATTATTTTTAGCATTTTTACACCATACTGTTAAACATATAGTAAATAGTTATCTGCCCCATTCAGAGAAGTCTGGTAATAGCAATCAAGTAGGAATAGGTTTATTGCGTATGAATACTCATATATTGCATCCATAATGTGTAAAAAATCTATTATGATACATTTTTTAAATGGGTCCACTCTACTCATGGATTATAGATTAGCATTTGAATGTATAGATATTGAGATAATAATTATTAAAAGAGGTGATTTTTTAATTAAACGTTATTAATCATTTTAAAAATTTTATTAGTTTAAATACAAAGAAAAACTTCAATAGAACAATATTAACTGAAATAAATTTTATTTTAAAACTATTTATAATGAAGTACACCTTAGTTATTGATGTTTGTATATATTTTACTTAACAAATTTTTTGTTAGTAAACATTTTGTTTGTATCATATGATATGATAATAATTTTCTCAGAACCATTAAATTAAACTGTAAGACCCTTCGACTACATTTGAAGAGCAATAAAATATATCAATAAACGATTGATAAGGCATTTGAATTTATTTTTTCAAAGAGCTGCATGATACTTTAAATTGTTAAAACAAATGATAAACATATTAACATGTTTATTTATATACATTAGATTTGGATAGATATACAGGTATAAACTGAGTTAAAATTAACCTTTTCTAATAATCTCAAATTGAGAATAACTGCGGAAAAATTAAAATAATATATAAATATTGATATTAGATGTTTATGTTTAACGTTCGGGAATTGTAGTAAATTGTTGTTATTTTAAATTATGATAACGAAAAATCCCCTAATGAGCATTAATACATTATATTGCATTTTCCTTTGAGTTTTTAAATACTAGAACACAATTCAGAATTCAAAAATAATTCAAAGTAAAGTTATAAATTTGTTTGGTAAATTTAATAATTATAAATCCATATAAATTTAAATTAGTATAATAATACAGTTAAAATTACTTAGTATTTGATTCAAACGACACTCTTCTTCATCTTTTCGTTGAAGTCTATTTCTTTCAATATATTTCGTTAAATTTGGATGTATATCTCTGATTTGAAAAATTGTAACAATATTACCTGAGTAAAATATATTAATAATAAGTTTATTGAAATATATATTTATATATATTTACACTTAATAGCCGTTATTAGTAGTATATATAGAATCGGATATTATGTATCAATGCAATGTTCAGAAAATTATATATACTTTCTAATAACTGATATTATCTACTTATAATTTAATTTTCAAATAATTTAATTTATATAGTTATCTATATATATATGATCGAAAGCTGAGCTTTTATTAAATAAAAATCATGCTGTTGGTAACCATATCCTATACGTTCTACTCAACAGCATTGCCAGCTAAAACATGTTTGTAATAATATTTACGTTATATTTGAATATGCTTTGCATTTATATGGCGACTTTAAAGTCGTTTGAATTTAATTCAGTCCAAAACAATATTTGTATTTCCAGTACTTCCAGCGTTTTCACTTTTTTATATTGTTTCCGCATCAAAACAAAAAACAGCTGATGAAATTGTATCGTGACTTGAAATGAATAGAAAATGAAAATAAGTTCTGCTTTGAAGAAGACAGATGGCATTTTTAATAACACAAACGACATTGTTATTGGAATAACTGAATTGTCTAATAATCGATTAAATAAAAGTCATATAATAATAAAAGAGCTGTTAGAGAATGCAATTGTCATTCAAATATTCGCATAATATCAGCACCAAATTGAAATTAGAAATGTTGATGGAATCTGAACCAGTGTTTAGCACCCATAGTCTACGTACATGTGAAGTTGTACAATAACCTAACAAAAAGGTAACCAATGTAGTGAGAGAATTCTCTAAAGAATATTAACAACGACTTTCATGTCATGGTAATGTTGAAGTTTCTAACTCTAGATAAATTTTTAACGGTTATGACTTAACGAACAACTACGTCAGATCGTATGAGAGTATTAACAAGGAGAGTATAACCAGTTATAATTGAGATCTTAGAATAGATCGGGTCAAAAAATACATAAGGGATAGAGCTTTGAAGCTAAATGCGAAAACCGACAGGCTACCTTATTTAGCACGATCTAATCTCAAAGTAATCACTAACCGTACAGGGCGGTACGCAGATCTTAGATCAGTCATTAAATAAGTGGGACTCTGCAGAAACCCACCAGCTATTAAAGAGTAAAAGTGCCCAGATGCACTAACTCGGAAAAAGCTTAACATTACTTCTTATATATATAGCCCAAAGAGGTTTAAAGGAATTACAAATACGTATTTATGCACCCGAATATAAATTAAATAATGTGTAAGTAAGAAGTAAAGGGATTCTTTCGAATGGATGAGATTCCCAACAGTGACTATACCAATTGTAATTGTAAAATGAATCTATTCATTTTTATAAATCCCTACAACAAAATAATTGACAGTCTAGATTTCATTTGTTTCGATCAGGATATAGTTATAAGGATCTCAATGTATTGACGACCCAACTAAAATATTAATTCCTAAAAGGCATTTAACTATATGTGAACTTATAGATATCGTGACGTTCGAAATGGTTTTCGATACGAAAATACTGTTAAGTTCTTAAGCTCTACTGGGATTAAAATATGCTAATACTAGTGACATTACAGTTTATAAGAATAAAATTTAATATTGCAACAATTTTTATTTTATTTTATTTTAAATTCATAAATTAATTTATACAATTTTCTTAAAATTAAATTTAATAGACACACAGTTCAGCTTAAAAGTTTTTTTTTTAAAGTTAACAGTTATTCAATTAAAAAACTTTAAATAAATTCTTCAAGAAATAAAACGTATACTTTTAATATTATAATATAAAACGTAATATACAAATATTTAAAAAATATTATTGTCCTTTGTGCTTATATAAATAAACAATTTCTTTTCAAAGGAAAAACAAAATTAAAAAAATCGTTAAAAAATAGGTGAAATTTAACGATTTAATAATTTTGCGTTTTTTTTTTTACATCAAAATTCTTCGCAAAAGCGTATAAGCGCAATATTTATATACAATTTTATTATATAAAAAATAAAAGAATTTTATAAAATTTAATTTCCTAATTTTTTAATTAACTGAAGTTTATTTTTTGTTTCTATTTTTGAATTTACTATTAAAATTAAATTATTAACATTTTTAAACTAAATAAATTTACATGATTTTCATTAATTTAGTAAAATGAAATCATAAGATAATAAAAAAAATAAGAACATTTAAAAAAAAATCTGTAGTAATTTTTCAATTTTAACAATTCTATGACTCTAAACAGACAACACATAATATAGTAATCTAAATATAAGCCTAATATATATATTTTAAAAGCTTATAGACTTTTTACTACCGAAATTCAGTTTCTACCGCGTTTCAAATGAAATAATTCTCTAAGCAGTTCTTTGATTAAATCGTATGTAGAGAAACTAATACCAACAGCTATTGGTCCTTTAATCCAATTCATACTGAGTCCTTTATAAAAACCGCTTTTAATACCTTCCTCTCTGCAAAATATTCAAAATATTCCATTAATTCAATTGTTAACTTTGAGAAATTTTTAGAAACATATAAAGTAAAGCCATAAAGCACTGATTAACAATAACAACAAATATACTTAGACCGATTTCACAGTCGTGACTTAAGTCTCAAAACTGTGAAATTGTCGGTCTATTGGAAGTTGTCGGTCTAGAGTTACTTTAATAGTTAGTGGGTTTCTTACCTGTAAATTTTTTTCAAAGTCGAGTATATGGTGGGATAATTATTATTGCCATTTCTATTAACACGCATAGTTTGCATACGTCTGCGCACAATATCCAGTGGATAGCTAGCCGTTTGACCAGCAGCACCCGCTGCTGCACCAAACGCCAGTGAGCTTAGAGTATTTGGTTTACTATTGCCAGTTATTTCTGTTATAAAAAATTTTATTAACATTAAATTTTATTAAATAATATATATGTATATTCATTTCACTATACCATAATATTCTCGTTTTAGTGTCTCATATGTGAAGAATGATGTGCCTGCATATGGTATGACGCCTAATATAGTTGCCCAATAACCTCTGTATAATGTACGTGGACCTTCTTCTATCCAAATTTTTACGAATACTTGTCGTAATGTTCTATAAAAAAACAAAAATTTAAAAATTATTAATTTTTATTTACAGATGATCTAACTTACATACCTATATCCAGTATATTTATCTGTCACTGCCATACGTGCTCGCGCTAAATCGAGTGGATAAGTTAAAGATTGAGATGTAATGCCTGCTAATGAACCTGCTACGAATCTTCGACCTTTTGTGCTAAAAAAAAAATAAAAAAATAATTCTTTTAAATTTTTTTTATAATGATTATAACTATCTTTGGACTTTCCCGGAGCTCTACTACTTTTTATAGTAACTTGTTAAGAATTATATGTTTCTCAAATTACAATAATATATCATTTAAGAACTATAACTTTTAAAGATCCATAATATGAAATAAAAGCGAATGGTTAAGTTTATTTATTATTTTAAGTGCTTAATAACAAAAATTGTTTTATATGATAATATATATCCTATATATATAAATGTGTAATAAATATCCCCATGGTTGAATATTGGCCTAAACATAAAAAGTGGACAGCAGGACTATATGCTATAGCCCGCTGGGCTTGTGTAGTTCCTTTGTAAGATGCAAAACGGCACTTGATCGTCGAAACTTAAGAGTGGATCTGGGACGTAGAACCAGCCGTTCTTGGAACAGGGACCACATCGTCAATATTTACAAATATTTCCGGGATTTAATACCTTTTTATTTTACTCGCTCCCGATTTCTACTACTAGCCACTCTAATACCTCACCTCAGATCCCCACAAAAACCAGTTGACTGTTAATATTACAAACTTAATGTGGGCCCACTCGTTAGGTTGCAACAAATTATAAAGTGGATTAATATTATTAAAGAACGGATAACGCTACAATGAGGCATATAAAATCTATATGGAGAGAGTCTTCTCAGTTAAATTACAGAAATAAATTCTGTTGACAAACCTAATAATGTCTCTTTGTTCTAGGCTCTAGATCTTCTTTAATTCAAAAGAGGGTACTGGACTCGTTTTTTGGCAAATCACACGACACGAGTAGGTAAGATTAGCGAAGGTCCCAGACTGTATCAAACACAATCTGCAGGAGTCGAAGTCCCGAAGTTTCAATAGTAGTTAGGTAGTAGTTAACAGGAGCATCGTCAGTTAAGAACCACTGATTCTTTTAAGTTTAATTTATTTAGACTGAGAAACTTCTCATTTGTGGTGTTGACTGGAAAAAGTCTTGTTTGTTCTTTTGGGGTCGGCAAGCATGATATACATATATATATACCATATATATCAATTTGCTCTATATTAAATTAAGTTCTACATAATGTGACAAGTAGATATTTGGTAGATCAATTATTTGTCTGGAAAAGCGGAACGTCTAATTTGCATTGAGAGAGACTCGCAAATCTAACAGAAAAGGTTATATGAATTTATTCGGCATGCATAAACCAAGAATATGTGATATTTTCATACTGTAGTTTATCTAAATTTCTTGACAGCATCACCTACATTTTGATAGCTTAAATTTATAGTTTTCATATTATATCTAAGAATATATGGAAACAAAACTTATAAAAAGTTCTACTGGTAGCGAAAAGTACCTATCTTTAAAATTTACTTGGAACAATTACTTGTATGAGTTTGCTTAGTCCATTAGTATATTTATCTATGATAGTAATATATATCTTTAAGTTATTTTTATTATATTAGACAAATTTAAACCTATTCTCATAATATTCATACAAATTTATATGCTTTTCAGTTAACCTCAGTTTTTGGTTATTGACATTATTCTGAAACTTTTCAAGACGATCAGCAGTATATATGTTTATTTGTACTATATATCTTTTATCTTACTTACTCTGTGCCATCTTTATCCACCATAAGAATTTTTCTCCACTGTTCATGTGAACTAAATTGTATGGCAGCGTAAGGCACAATACGCGCCATGGTTGCAGAATTTCCACGCCATAACGCCAATAGGCCCTCTTTGGCATAAGTTTGTTTAAGGAAATCAAGAGCGGCTCTAAATGAATATGGTACATCTTTGCTAGAATATTATATTTAATATTGGTAATATTAGTTTAGTGCAGTTTATTTAAAATATTTCAATCTACCTTATTTGAAAATTTATTTTCGTTCGATCCAACGGCGCAATAGTTGTCTTTGCGATAGCTCCAGCTGCAGCACCTGCTAATAGACTGATAAGGACGGCATCAAAATTTGTAGTGCCTTAAAGGGAATACAAATATACAAATATAATGTTAATTCGATGCAGTGATATATATATATAGTATCCATTAAAAAATATAATAAGTAATGTTTTTAAAGATCACTGCAGTATCAGGAAATGGAAAGAATATGTTTTGGTCTGTACATATAAAAGTTGCATAAAAGAAAATATACCTAAGTGAAGATCATATTTTGGGTAAAGATATAAAACTCGGTAAAGCAGATAAAATATTACAATGTGTCGAGGAAATCCGACTCCTAATTCGTTAAAAGGGCACAAAAGATCTTGGGGCAAAATCCTCCAACTTAATAATATTTTAAATAAGAGAGGAACATTAACAATCAACAAATAAATTTCTGTCATGATTTAGGTTAATAGTTATAAGGAAAGCCCAAAGATATTTTTATAGCTTGATATTGACAGTATTTACATTTATAGTATGTCTTACTAATGCCTAATAAAATATATTAAAGACAAATGGAGTAATATTATAGTTTGAGTAGGTTGTTTAGGTAACAACCCTAATCAAGGTTAGCTTTTATCTTAACATAGAGCATTTAAAGATGAATTCTAGTCATGTAAATCGAAGCAATGAAAAAAAAAAACAGATGAATGGTGAGATATTGATTTAACCATATAATGATGTTCAGGAAACTTGTTAATAAGGTACATTAGGCATAATTAAGAAAGTGCTCTTCTATTGTAATACCTTCTTCATAGCAGATGTTGCCACAAAGATTACTCCTGAGATTATATCAAAGAAATTAATTTAAGGTCAATTGCTATTTGTCATAATTATTAAACGTTACTAGTACTATTAAGTACTATTTTTTTGACACAAGTATCAATATAACAGAATTAAATAATAATAAACTACATACAGAAGGCAAAAGTTGTGAAATTAAACTGGAATTTGCTTGTCATAATCAGCTTAATTATATATGTCAGAAATTATATATAGTAATTATATATAGAAATTAAAATATAGTAGAACACAACAATGTTTGGTAGTCTTTATATATACATTAATTTCTTACCTTCATCGAAATCTTTAGAGAGTTTGAAAAAAAGGTTCATCCTTATATCGTAAATTTTGCTATATGTTCTTCACTAAAATTTAAAGTGTTAGAAAAATGGTAATAAATAAGCTGAAGCTATTCCGGTATTTTTTTATCAAGTTAAGTGCACAATAAAATTTTTATGTATAACTCTTGAGAATAGGTATTGTGTAATCGGTTAGTTAAGCATGTTTAACTTAAGTCGCTTAGCAAAAGAACGCGGCAGATAAATTGAAGAAAGTGTCCTTTGGCGAAGTTTGCATAATAAGCCTGGAATATATATAAGCGATCTTTTCTTTTTTTCGATCTTTTCATTTTTTCTTCAGATTCATTTAGTGATTTGAAACTTCAGAAGATTTGTACGGTTCTTTTGTTTTACTAACTTGCTTTATTGAGCAGTAACGGACTTATCCATCTTGTGACCTCTTATAATATATAAAACACTACAAAACTGTCGAAAGTATTTGCGTTAACAAGAAGCCTAATGAGACAAATAGATGATGTGTATCAAACTGTTTTCCTTGGGTTTTTTATTGCTACTACATTGTAGTATCCATTAATATAAGTTAACGTCTCATAGATATTTGTTAATATATGTCTCGATCATAAGGAGTTGGTTGCCCCCTTTTTCAAGGAAAGAACAAGCAAATACACTGAACAGATTATAACAATAAAACTATTATAATATACTATAATAGACTTTTTTATATTATTCTATTCTACACTACACTATCATACAGCATACCAAGTAATAAATCATTATCATCGGAGCAAATAGAGAAGAAAAATGAGGAGGCAGAGAAGGAAGAAAATGAAGAAAAGATAAAAACCATATAGCTCTGAGATAGACGCACAAAGTTGAATATGTATATAGTTTAAGAGCGAAAATTTGTTAGGTAAGGTTATGTTAGGGTGTCAGTCTTGTACCCAAGAAAGTCTACTTGAGCTCAAATGGCTCGTTGTGGTACCACAGGATTGGCGTCTGTTCATACATAGACTAAAGGTCAGCATACGACCAACGGCGAAAGGCAACGACTCCCACATTAGGTAAAAATAACCCAACCTGACAGTTCTATGAACTTCGCTAAGTGCCCTCCTCTCATTAAGTAAAGATGAACCACCTGACAGTTTTATGAATTTTGCTAAGTTCCCTCCACGATTAAGTGAAGATGAACCAACCTTACAGATCTATGAACTGGACTAAGTCCCCAATTTTACAGGATGACAGTTCGGTCAGGTTGGTAAGAAAAAGGACCCTGAACATTTTAAATATTCTCCTAGCTATAGATTAGCACTGACACATGAGATAGAGCACAGTTTCTTCCTCATCCTCAAAACCATAACCACGACAAAAGTCATTATTGGGCAAACCCAGTATGATAGCATGCCTACCTATTATGCAGTGGCCCGTCAGCACCGATATCCTAGTGCTGAGAAAATATTTGATATAAATAGAAGATTCTTTAATCCGAATAGAATGAATGTTTACTTTCTCTGATAAAATAGTTTTTTCTTTACAGAAAATTAATGTACTGACCTTTTTTACTGGTTTGGCCTGTAAGGTTTTCGGTAGTTGTTGTTGTTGTAGTTGTAATTGGAGTTGCAGTTACTGTTGTTGCAGTTGCTGTGTTTAGTGACGCTGTGGTATTACTAAATGAAGCAGGTAAGGATGCGGCTGTTGCTGCTAATTGACTACTACTAGACGATGACTTAATGGGCATCGCTATATTTGGCTTGTCTATAAGATGGCTCATTGCACACTAAAAAGAATTATAAAAACAAAATTACTAACTTTGTTTTAATTTTAAATAAAATTAAAATGATGTAAATGAGGTTTCAATTAAAAAAAACTTAGATGGCTTTAATAACAATGAACTTAATGATAGTTATGTGCTTTAAAATAGATGAAAAAATTTAGTGCTGTAATGAACCAATTTCGTTTATTTATAAAAATAGTAAGAGAAATGATAATATAGATATGATATGGAGTCATATTGCAATATACAGTCTTTGGATATGATATATTCAATTAGAAAGTGTTAAGAATTATTTTCTTTATGTATATATGTATTATTTCACAAAGAAGAACATGATGTATCGAAAAACATGATGTATCAAAGAATATGATAATAGCCGCAGCTCTGTTTTATTAAGAAAATACGTATTACCACAGTTGTAAGCATAGACTAGCTATTTAGTTGAGCGGTTCCGCAGAGTGTTCCGGAACCAGTTACTGGAAATAAGATTAGATATCTCGCATGTATTCATATTTTGTTTAAAAGGCCTTTAAAAATTGTTTAGTCAAGAATAGCTAAAGACGTATACTTATCTTCAAGACATTTAAATTTTGCTTGAGAAGAATAGGAATGGCTAAAGATAGATACGTATTTTGAAGGCTTCTAAATTTGAAAATTCTTCGAGTGCCGAAAAGCCAAAGACAGAAGTTTATCTTGATTTATAGAAATTAGTTTAAGTGGCAATTTGAGAATTATTTTGCTGGGAATAGTTAAAGACAGATGTGTACATTGTTTGTGTATTAATTTGTTTAATAGGCAATTAAAAATTGTCTAGTTGAGAATAGATAAAGACAGTTGTGAATAATTTCTGAGAAAATAAATTAATTAAATATTTTACTAAACAAATATTGTTTGTTCTTTCGTTAATTTACAAACTTATAAATAGAAAAATTAATTTTATTTATATATAATTTATTTTGCATACACATTATAATAATAAGTTTGCCTAAGAGTACCGGTAGACGCAATTTGAAGAATTTATAGATATAATCTGCAATATCAATAATTTTATATATAAATCTTAGTTTTCATGGTCACGGCTACAAATTTGAAAAACAGAAGAGTACACACATTAATTTTTGGCTGCGTTTCAAAAAACACTTCAAGATTATTTATATAATGCATATGTTAGGTGTATAAAATAAAAAATTAAGAAATATTTAAATGAATATTTATTTTTTACGAAAGTGACATTTCAGAAATTAAGAAATTAATGGAAAAATTAAAGTATTTGAAGGTACCACATACTTTGAGTTCATTACTTTAAAAAATAATATTTTTCAATTGATTTTCGTCGACACGAAACTAAGATATAGATACATTCTTTGTGATACCTTATACACGTATAGGTTAGGCTAGGTTCAGATACTAACAATTATCTGATACTGATAGTTATCAGCACTTAGACTCGCAGGAATATATTGCTCATTGTGAAGCCCTCAAGCATTATATCGGTAGAGACGAGTTGCTAACCTTTCTTATTCTTATTAAACCATTCGGTTTTCCAGTTGAAGTTGAGGAGATTCAATAAGTTTGCCTTCGTTATCTCTTCCAAGCCAGTGAAAAAGTGATTCCCACGACATTGAAGTCGCCTTGTCTGCAGTTAGGGAAAGATTCAATAAATTTGCGTTCGTTATCTCTTCCAAGCCAGTGAAAAAGTGATCCCCACGACATTGAAGTCGCCTTGTCTGCAGTTCTGGAAAGAGCCACAGAAAGTGGTTGATAGATTCTATCTCCTCTTCATCTTGGCAACTCCTGCATAATCCGCTTGTTGGAACTCGCCACTGTTGGAGCATAGGCGCAATGGGACAGTGCCCCGTTAGTAGTCCAGTAAGTATACGAACTGCAGGTTTGTTGAGGCATTTTGTTTTTTTTTTGTCCAAACTAGTCCCTAAAGTTCTAGCGACCTCACTGTCTTAGCGGTTAGCTCATAAATATACACGTGTATATATATATACTCGTATTAAAATTAATTGACTGTTCAATTTCTTGATAAATAATTTACTTTTTATTTAATATTCATATTAATTTAATATAAGTGTTCATTGGAAATGCAATATATTTAATATTTACAATGACAATAAAAGATTAATAGATTTTATTTTCCTATATATGGGTTTGCGGTAAAGACATATATATCTATCACACGCCCATAGCAGCTAAACAGATATTATTGTTCACACAGTTTATCTATGCAATAATAACATTATGAGGCCGAATTGATAGTTTAAGTAAACAACGCAGTGTCTAGGTACTCGGTTAGAGGGTGGAATAAGAAGTGCAAATATGACTACATGGATACCCAAGTAATCTCTAATAAAAGTTCAAAAAGTTCTTTGGTAATCTAAAAACTGAATACATGTGTTAATGTGTTTATGAGAAAAAAAAATATATTATTTGCTGAACACTTTGCCAACTGATAATTTAATATTATTAATAAACACACATTTTCAACATGTTTATGGCCTTTGTAAGTGATAAGAAAGATATTGGGAAAGTAAAAAAAAAAATAAAATAGCAGAAACGCAAAAAAAATATATATAATAAATATATAAAAATATATATAATAAATATATAAAAATATTTATAAACAAATAAATAATTGTAAATAAATCGTTCGTGGTCGAATGCATTTCATGAAAACATAGACCAAGACTCATTGAAAATATTTATTACTAAAGGTGAACGGCATTTGAGATAATTTCGCAAAGATAAAGAATGTATAAATTAAAATAATTAATTAATTAATTATTAAAAAGTGTAAATTTTAGTTTATTAATACTAAATTTCATTGTATAGTTGCAAATTGTATAGAACTGAAAATACATGTTAATTAAATGATTAATAAGTATACGCTTCAAATTCGCACAAAATCTATCTGAATTTAGATTCAAATAATTTACTTATATACGTATGAATGATTCGATAATACTATATATAAAAAATAAAATAGTTTGTTAAATAAAAATATTAGTCACGACTCCAACAAGTAATATTTATATAAAAAAAAGTTTAATGGAATTCATCTTGTAAAATACACTTTTAGTCGACGGAATAAACCCATTTCTGAAGCGGTTGGTGATTGTCGAATCGTGGTAAGCCGGCTAAAACGGTGGCCAAGCTAGGATTGACCCTAGTAAGACTTTTGTGTGTGTTTGGTAGAATTGGCAGAGAATCATCTGCTTACTATGAGCTGCTGCCCTATGGCAATACTCTTAACACGAAACCATACTCTTAACAATTGGACCGTCTAAAGGAAGGAATCGCTGAGAAATGGTCAGCTTTTGGCAAAAGGAGACGCGAGTCATCGACAAGGACTCGCCAAAAGCTTCAGAATCTTGGTTGGGAAGTTCTTATGCATCCACCTTATAGTTCAGACTTGCCACCAAATGATAACCATCTGTTCCTGTCCATGGCGAACAATGGACGATTTTATGGTGAAAAATTCGCTTCAGGAGAGGCTTGTGAAAGTCGATTGTCTTAACTTTTGCCAATAGGAAATCTATGGTACTTTAACCCGATATCTTCTTTCACTGTGTGGTGAACATTGTCACAAACTTAATATACCCTTTTACATATTGTGTGTGAAATACATAATTTAAATACAGTTATTATACTAGATATATATATAAATCTATTTAAAGTTATGTACAATAAATGAATGTAGTAGATAAAGTTCAGTAAAGCAATAAAACTTAGCTAAAGTTTAATAACTAATTAACTCCCATAAGTACAACTCTTACAAAATGCGATATAAAAATATTTAAATGGAATAAAAAAAGAAAATCACTTTAACTTATGATCTTCCGGTTAAAGTTTATAATTAAAATTTGCATACAATTTCGTTTATATTTTTTTTTTTTGAAAATAAAATTTAATTTTTTTAAATTTTTTTAAAAATAATTCAATAATTCCAGTTGAAAAATGTTTTGTGAAAATTTTAGTTTGGATCTGAGCCAAAATCTCTTGTCGTTTGTATAAATAAACGAATATTATAAAAAAGTTATATTAAACAAAAAGAAAATATTGTTTGGATATAAATATAAGTTTTTGCTTGGAAACGAACTAAGAGCGAATAATTTTTGAGATAACAAAGAAGCATCATCCAAATAGTTTAGAAAGACACGTGAATCTACACCATTTTTATTGCCATTCAACGTGAAGCGTTTCCGCATTGACTATATGAGTTTATATATTATATCTGTGGCTGGAAAGTCAATAGTTTACATCAGTTCATGGTTTTTCTCAAGTTCAAGAGTTTTTCTTAAAGAAAAATAATAAATGGCTAATATTTTTATTTAGATATAAAATTGTTGTTCAAATTGGTTAAGAGGAAAAACAAAATAAAGCTACAGCTACATCTCTTAGGACCATGTCTCTCAAGTAATCATTACAACTTGGTTTTCAACAACATCGCTACATAACTAGTTCTTCAGAGTGAAGAAACATCAACCATCTACAGTCGCAGCTCTTACAGTTATGCTATAATTACTGATTCATCCTCAACTACTATCATCGTTTTAAAACCAGTTCATCAGATTAGAAAAAACCTCAACCATCTTGGACTACAGACATAGTTCTCATAATTAGACAAACACTTCAGATTTATCTTATACTGTTGTCGTTATATAAAAACTAGTTCTTCAGAGTGAAGAAATCTCAACCATATATAGTTACAGCTCTTATAGTTAGACTATAATTACTGATTCATCCCCTACTACAATCATCGTTTCAAAACCAGTTCTTGAGATTAGAAAAAATCTCAACCATATTGACCTACAGCTACTACTCTGATAATAAGGTAAATAGTACAGTTTTATCTTCTACTGTTGTCGTCATATAAAAACTAGTACTTCAGAGTGAAATAACCTCAACCATCTACAGCCGCAGCTCTTATAGTTAGGCTATAATTACTGATTCATCCCTTACTATTGTCATCGTTTCAAAACCAGTTTTTC